TTAAAAATGCATAAAAGTATTTTTAAACATTTAAAACAATTCAAATAAAGTGTAAATTTATAAAAAATACCAAAACACAATTAAATTGTGAAAAAATAAAAATCAAAAATAGAATAATCAAAAACATTTTTCATAATTTTTTCAGATTTTTTGAACTTAAAATGAATTTTCTATGATTTTTTGAAGTTTAAAACAATTAAATATAAAAATAAGAAGAAAAAAAAATAAAAGTCAAAAATATGTGGACCATTGGATGAGATTCAAAATTTGTTAGTAATCAGATCCAAAGGATCTTCCGCGCTGTGCATATCATGGTCATTAGTGAATAAAGTATAGAATCAAAAATAAAATCAGAATTTAAAAAAAAACAAGTGGCACGCCATCATTGGTTGGAAGATGACACGTTGGTCATCTTCAACCTCCAGCCAACGTGAATTGCAGGTCTCTCAAACTGTAAAATCAGAGGCTCGGACCTATGCCATTCGCTTCGTCTCTTCAAGACAAAGACAACCACACCCTCGCGCCAAATTTATAAAAACTGTAGCTCAGGAAATTTGGAAGGAAACTTTTGAAAAGGGATTTGAAATTTTATGGTCAAAACGCGTTTCCAGTAAAAAGCAAGTTTTGCGACTAGAACCAGGGCAATAAGGGCATCACAATGATATCAAAGTTTTGAAGAATTGATGAAGGAATCTACCTATTGAAGTTGAGTTGCAGATTCTGAAACTGGACTTCTATGGATAATATAGGGCACGATTCTTGAATGTAATTATATGGTTAGCTTCAGGGAAGATCAAAGAAGGTGAATTGATGAAAAAATTGAATTGAACAAGGCTTGTATATGGATTTCAAAGTTGCTGAATTCTTAGTTATGGAACAAGTTTGGCAGGGTGATTCTGGCTATCCAAGCTTGAGGAAATGAATGGGGAATGACCCTCTATTTATAGGGAAACAAATGGAATGTCCAAGCGTGTGAAATGATGAAGTTTGGAGGGAAATCGTGTGATGTTGCAAACAAGAAAAGTGTGACTTCCAATTTGATCAAAACTCATCCAAAATGTGCATTTTGTTGTGCTAATCACTTCTGGAAGTTCACCAAACATTTTTAGAGGCAAAATCGCGTGGGAAACTTGTGATTAGAAGCCAAAACAAAGATTTCAAAATCTGACTCGTGATGAAACTTCAATTCCAAGTTACCAACTTCAAAATCATGGCATTCTCAGCTCAAGGGGTCTTAGGGCATGATTCTTGATGCTTCAGAAAGATGAGATTACAAGCTTTGCAATGGAAGAAGAATGGGATAAAATGGATGCTTGAGCTGAAAGTTGTATTGAGTCAAAGTTGGGAAAAAAGAAGTTAAGTTTCCATACTTAGAAATATTTCAAGTTTTTCTTCAAAAGTGACCTATAATGTCTTACATCCAAACATGGCCTTCCACTTGGAATTTGCTCTTGACAAAAAAAGATGGCATGAATTAGATCTCTTGAATGACATTTTGAAACGTGAACCATTCAAAATCTCCAAAAATTGAGAAAGTTATGACTTGTTGAAGTTGGCAAAATTTCATAAAATGACCTATAATCTTTTGTATCCTTAAGGCAACTTCCATCCATTTTCTCACTTTGCACATAAAATAATGAATAAATTTCACATCCTCAAGATCATTATGGAAAAAGAATAGGATCATGGTGATAAAAATTGACCAAGTTATGATCATTTGAAGTCACACATGGAAAATTGGGGATTCATCTGGAGGACTTATAATCTTTCTTCTTCATCAAGTTTCTTCCACATGAAAACTCCTTGGAACTTTTAAAGTGATTTATTGATAACCCTTTGAAGAGAAGGATTTCTTTGTAATCACTCAAAAATACCAAAAGATGAGCAAGATATACTCCTTTAAAGTTCAAAACCCTAGCTCCTAGATTAAGAAACATGCCTTGAGGTACTTTGACAATTTTGAACAAACTTCTTGTACCAAAACAAATGATTTGTAAATATAATTTGTTGAGGATGATAATGAGAACGCATAGCAACCACAACCACTTACATATCTTGAGAATTGAGAGGAACATGCACTTGTGACCAAAAGGAATAAAATCGTGTCCAAACATGACTATTTTTTCAATCAACCCCTTGTACTTTTTTGGATCAAATTTAATAATCTTGAAATATGGTGAACCAAAATAAGCTTTCCATACAATTTCCTCCAAAACAACTTCAATGGTGAGACTTGAACTTCTCAAGCTTTATTAACTAGGGCATAGAAATAAACTCACGAACCCATGGGGGAACTTGTTAAATCTCATTGCCTTTACCTACATGGATAACAAGCAAGACAAACCAACATTGCATTTTATTAATTAAAAGAAGAAATCAAGACAAAAAATATTCATGATCACAAAAGAACACAAGTCAAGGTGTCTGGTGATTCCTCAAAGAGCAAAGCTAAAAATAGGGAGGGGAACCAAGAAACCTAATGTGATCTTATTGTGAATGAATCAACATGGTATGATGAAGGGGTCTTAGGGGGGGAAATTGGGGTACAACACATACACAAAAAAGACACACAAGGCTTTAGGTTTAAGCTTGCAAGGGTTTTATAGGTAAGTACCCTCTTGAAGTTTTAGTTGGTTCAACCTGTCCCAAAATAAGTAACCGGGTTCTAAGAAATCTCAATGTTATTAATCTTTCTTCACCGGCCATTGTTTCAGCACAAACATCAAACTGCAACCGAAATATCCCGAAAGTCTGATCTCAGTGAGTGTAGTATCGAGTATCAACCAACTTCAGTCTGCACCAAAGTCGGCTATTTCACTACATTCTAATGGTCAAGTTGTTCAACTAAGGTTCTACGGTCAGTTAGTGCTTCATGACACCACACAACAGCCCCATATTCTCCTTGATTCAACATAAGGGACATTGGTACCAACAAATGTGTCACACTAATGTAGCCATCGCTTCAACCATATCGGTTTATACCGTACAGTCTCCATGATCTATTGCTACTTACCTAAAATGTCCCAGATCCGGGTATAGGATATATACAAGATACAAACCCAAGCATAACCCAAAAATGTAAAGCATACAAATCAAGCAAGTAAATAAATAAAGGTGGTCTGGCTCTTAAGGTAACCCCACTTTTAGTAATCTCCCCAGTAGACTCGTCAGTTCTGTAATACAATGGGAGAATGGACTTGGTGTTTTGCGTTTTATCGCAAGTGTTGCGGATAACAAGAGTCGCCACTACTTTTCTTTTATCCAGTAAAGGAAATGGTGAAAATAACAGGAAATACCTTTTGAGAATTTTCTAAGTTCAGGGGGTAGATTATGAAAAGGGAAGGTGTTAGCACCTTTTTCATCCGTAGTTATCTACGGGCTCTTAATTGCTAGCTCGAAAAATGCTTTGTGTTTGTGTATGTTTGCAAATATTTTGAAAATGCCTAAGTGCGGAAATTTTGTAATGATTCTCGTGTCATTGAGAATGTATACGAAATTTTTGTTTTGAAAATATTTGTTTTGAAAGGAAGTGTTGTTTTTGAAAGTGTGAAGTGTGGAAATTGTTTTTGTTTGTGAGCAAGCGATTACAAGCGATCTACCTACTCAAAAACTCTTTATTCTTTTCCTCCTTCTTTAGATAGTGTTATCCTACTGTTAGTTAGTAGGAAGCCTTATTGTTGTATGTGAGGGACAGACGCGGGTCATCATACAATCATAGAAGGCAACTTGTAGGACGCTTTAGAAATTGTCATAAGGGACTAAGATCGTTTACCGAAGGCAACATTGAAGGGTCATCGAGGGACTACGATGTTTTAATCGAGGGTATTTGCTAAAACATCTCACATTCGAGGGAAATGATTGTTCTTATCCGAGGCAACAAGTGAGGGTTACCCTAGAGGTGCATGTGTGAAAAGTGTTTTGATTTCAGTTTATCTTGGATTTATGGTTATCTAGCGTTTGATTTTAAATATTGTCATACACACCTAATTACTATACACTGATAAGGAAAGTAGTAAACTGCAGAAACTAAATGTCATGCGCTATTACAATGCTTCGGGAATGGGATATAAATTTATGAATGGAGGTGTGTCAGATCGAAAGCTCGAATAAAAGTCTAAATAAACATTCAATACAACCCAGTCGAATTAATTTAAATAACTAATTAAATTAAATAATTGTATTTAATAAAATTAATTAATAAATTAATTAATAATATTAAATATAATTTCTCAATCTAATTATTTATTTAAAACAAATGTATTTTGTAAATAAAATCAATTAACAAAATTAATTAACAATACAAATTAACAAAAATAAAACTAAAACAATTAAAGGAACTAAAATAATTAACAAACTAATTAGTATTAACAAAATAAACAAATAAAGAAACAGTAAAAAGGAGGGTGTGATATGGAATTTCGGAATGGGCTAAGACATTCATTCAGGCCCAATAACACACAAAAACAAATGTAACAGAAAATAATAATAAAACCAAGAAATTAAATTGGGCCGGAAACATTAGTAAACAGGAAGGTATACTGAGTAGTTCGCTGATGGGCTAAAAATTGGGTAAAAATCATATCAAAGCCTAATACAGTTTTTGCTGAAATAACAAAATAAAACAAAATGAGGGTGTAGGTGGATTAGGCTTGAAGTTTGCACAAGGACCAAACGAAAATTAAATAAAAAAAACCTAGAAGCTCACAAAACAACCGCTTCATCTATCATCTTATCTTGTTCCACGCTTCTGTTTTACAGCTTCTCAAAACAACAATAAAAATTCATCATCTATATTCTCTCTCGTGATATCACAGTTGAGCAACAATAACAACAAACATCACAGATTCAAAAAATCTCAGTTCAGAAACAACAACAAAAATTCCTCAATTCAGCTCTTCACAATAAACTAAAATAAAAAGGACGCACAGATTCATGGAACACCAATTACAGAATTAAAATCAAGCCATAAGTTTCAAGAGATACCTATCGGAAACTTTCCGATGAGGCTTCAACGTCGGCGCAGGTAATCTTCTCCTTCAAACCTTCTGACTTGTGCGAAATTAGCTTCTACTCTTTTCTTCTGAAATCTTTCGCTCCAGATGCGTTGATTTTGCGATTATGGTGTCGAGCTGTTGAATTTCGTTGATGTGTTACAGGTTGTTATGGCTGGTGTGTGTTGTTGTAATTGCAGGTGTATGCTAAACTCTAATTCTCTGTTATGGAGCCTTCAATGGAAAAAGTTTGAAGGAAGATTGTTGAGATCTTCTGCAACAATTTAAGTGATTTTTCTTCCCTAATTTCGTCCTCGATTTTTCTGAATATGTTGCTGCTACAGTTTTGGATGTGTTGAGTGTCAGTGTTGGTGGTGGATTTCGAAAAAGTTTTTGTGTATTGAGCAGAGTTTTGAGGAATGGTTTTGTGAAGATTTTCAAGTTTGTCTCTGCTCCCTTCTTACAGTTTTTGTTATTTGAGCAGAGTTTAGCAAGGATTTTGGGTGAGTTGGACAAGGGTTTGCGGTTCAGCACAGATGAGTGGGGTTTGGGTTCTGAGGAAATTTTGTAGTGGTTATGAGTTTGTGTTAAGTTTTTGAATTTTGCTTGCCCTCCTTTTCTGTTTCTTCTCTGTTGTATTTATAGGTGAGAAAGATGGGATTTGGGGGGAAAGTTTGGTGATTTTGAACACTTTGTTATACTATTTTTTGTTGTTTTCTGATGCAGGAAGTGTTTTGCTAATTTGGTGCAATATTTTGATGTTTATGACATGTTTTGGAGCAGCAACACAAGGACTGATTTTACAAGTTATCTAGGTACATCATGAGCAGAGTTTTGGACTGTGTGATGGGTAGGTTTCATGTAGCAATAGCAGGGCTATTTTTGTGCAATTATTGCTCTGTTTTTGACAATTTTTCTCTGGTTTTTGCAGGCTGATTTGTATAAGGTCTTGACAGGGCAGCAGCTGTTTTGGACTGTTGTATGGCAACAATGTCATGGTTTTAGGGCAGCAGCTTTCAGGGTGACAGTAGCTTGGCATGAAGCAAAGTTTTGGATCTTGGTAGCTTTAGGATTTAGGTTTAGAAACAAAATTTTTGTTGCAAAGTTTTCTCTTTTATCCAATGCTCGGGATGTGAAGACAACATGAATTGCAATTGATGCTTGTAAATTTTGAATGAATGAAATTGCTTGCAACTTAATTGCACATTTGAACAATTGAACTTGTTAGATCCTTGCTTGTAATTTTTGTAGTTAGGTTTGAAGTGGCATAGAGAAACATAGGTTTAGAACTTAGGAATTTTTATGTAACTTTGAAAGTATTTTGAATTTGAAACTCAAAAGTCTTTTATCATAGTGAATTCATTCAATATTTCATTTTGAACTCTATATAATTCTTCTTCTTGAAGTTTGAATGCACTTGAACAAATTTTTTTGGTGACCTCATGACAATTGGGAACTTCCTCACGGCACTAGTATAAATGTCTCAAATATGTCTGGTAGTGTTGAAAAGAGATCTTATTGTTCCAATTAACTACATGGTATAATTTGTAGAAAATTTAAGAAGAGAAAGTTTTTCAGGGTACCTTTTTCTTTTTTATTTCAAATACACATTTGACATGGGAAATTAGTTAATATCTTCTGTCACATTTTCTTTGAGTTTCTGAAAGTGAGAAGAAGAAGAAGAATCCGATGGAAAAAATGCAGATTTCTAGTTGTGTTTTTTATATGATTCAAACAAACATATAAGCTATAGGAAAAAGTGTATGCATTTTATTATGGCAATTGAAGGTGATTCAAGATATTGTTATTAGCCACTTATAACACTACAAGAAAGATGGTCCCCAGCGACATATATTAGCGACGTGGTTATCACGTGAGTAATAAATGCAGTTGCGACGTGATAACCACGTCGCAAACATATTTTAATGATACATAGCGCAAGTCAGAGGTGGTTGTTTGGAAAAAGAATCAGCGACGTGTCTTACACGTCGCTACAGAAGGGGGAAATTTGAAATTTGGTAGTGACGTGATAGCCACGTCGCTACATTAAAGGGGGGAAATTAAAGTTGATTGATGACAGGGTGGCAGAGTGGGAAAGTGAATTATATTTCTGTTGAGTGTGTAGCGACGTGAGTATCACGTGGCAATGTTGCGACGTGACAGTCACGTCGCTACTTGATGTTTATATCTCCACAAAATTCCCATCCGTTACAGCATCTGGTGTTTCCTCTTCCTTTCTTCTTCCTTTCCTCTTCCTTTCTTCTTCCTTTCTTCTTCCTCTCAAACCCAAATTTCCAAATCAAATTTCCTCCATCCCAAATTGTTGAAGAAGAATAAGGTATTCATATTTTGATAAATTTTTATTTCATTTGTTCATTATTTATTATACTGGTAATAAATATTAAAAAGGGTATTTTGTTTAACCTGTAGAGAAATTTGAAGAAGAACACCAAGAGCTACACAAGAAGAAGCAAATTAAGTGAAGAAATTATATAGAGGTATTTATGCTTTTTTTTTATATTTTATATGTATTATATATATTAGTAGTATATGTATTTTGTTTATGTGAATTAAAAAAATATTTTACTTAATTTTAGTTTTAGGTTAATTAGTATTATAGGTTAATGTTTAAAAACAAAAATTATATTAGAATGTTTTATATATTAATATATTATTAAACAGAAATATTATTGTTAATATATATATGTTAATATTTATTAATATTATTGCATGTTATATAGACATATAAAAAAAAATTGTTAGTATATACGTATAAAATAAATAAAAAATTGAATATATATTAAAATAAAAATTTTTAGAAAACATAAAATTAAAAGTCTTATTTTTTTATAGATGTATATATATATATATATATGTTAACACATAAATTTAATAACATATTTAAAAACAAAAATGTATATTATATTTATTATAATAGTTTTATTTTTTTATTTATATGTTAAAGATATGAAAAAAATATATATATATATTAAAATAAGAATTTATAAAAAAACATAATTAAAAAAAGAGTATATATATTATATTATTATTTTAATATTATTGTTATATATATAATAAAAAGTATATATGTTACATTATTTGTTTTCTAATATTATTGTTGTATATATAATAAAAAGTAAATATGTTATATTATTGTTTTTTGATATTATTGTTATATAATAAAAAATTATATATTTTACATTTGAATATTTATTTATATGTTAGTATATATATATAAAAGCAAAATTTATATTTTTAAGAATAGTATTAAATAGTTTAAGAATAATATTATTAAGTTGATTAATATTTCTAATGAAAAAGACAATGATTGTATAAATGTGCAGTATGGAATATTATCGGTATTATCGTAGTTGGATGTACGATAGAACATATCCAGGAAGAAGTGGAAAAAATCTATAATGTGTGTGGGATCCGTTGAATGAGAAAATTATGGAAAAAATCTATTATAGCAGAACTTCTAGAAGATTTTCTGATATAATGCGGCGGGTTAGGGAGAATTATGAGCTGCATGGTATCCGTCCTAACTGGATAGGCGTAGAGGTTTTTGGCGAACTTCGTACATATTGGGGTTCGCCAGAATTCAAGGCCAAATCCGAAAATTTTAAGAAGATGAGGGCATCCGAAAAGGGGGATGTGTCAATACTGTTGGAAGTATTAGCACTGCAGAGCATGTCCGACGGATGGTAAATATTACTAATTTTTTAAGTTATATATATTTTTATTCATAATATTTTTTACTAATTATTTTTAACTTTATTGTTTAGACTAAGGAGATGGGGAGACCACCATTGATCATTGAGTTGATTACGAGGACTCGGACAAAGAAATCGGGAGGTTTTGTCGACGAGCGCACAAAGAGAGCTTTTGTAAGTAATTTAATTTATGTTTTTTTTAAGTTAATAACAAAAATAGTGACGTTATTTTCACGTGGCAATCTATAAGTTGTGGCGTGATTATCATGTGGCAACTGATAAATTGCCACGTGACTGATTTTCATGTGGCAACTGATACATTGCCACGGGAAAATCACGTGGCAATTCATAAGTTGATTTGTGAAAATCACGTGACAAATTTTTAATATATTTGAATTTAGTATAATTTAATATATAAATGTTTTAATTTAGCATAAATTTAATATATATATATATATATATATATATATATATATATATATATATATATATATATATATATATATATATATATATATATATGTAATTTTTTTTTTAATTTTATTATTTAATGTATGTGTAGGATGATTATCAGACATTGCTTGCACGTTTTCTGGAACACAATCCTCAATATAGGCCAGCAGAAGGGGAGCCGCTTAATGGTGATGTTGATTTCTATATTTGGAATGAGGTTGTTAATGGAAAAGGGCCTAATGGTTGCTTTTTTGCAGGAGGAAATTTGGCCGCCGGCTTGAGAGTTGGTGATCGTAATCTGTTTCAACGACTTAGAGATGGAGAGGGAGGGTCACGTCAACCGAAACTGACACAGGATCAACTTGAAACAGTAAGACAATTGGCGGCAAGTGAAGTGAGACGCGAAATGGAGGCTCAAATGACGACAATGAGGCAAGAGCAGGAGCAGCAGTTAGAGATCATGCGGAAGAGGCAATCTGATATGGAGGAGCAGATGAGACGGTTTATGCAAGGTGGTGGAAATCAAAATGTTCCTGATACACAGCCGGATGATGACGGAATTGATGATTTTGATCTTGATAATTATCCGGGTGAAGATGCCCCGTGAAAACATTTTATTTATTTCGTTTTTAAATTTGCATTTATGTAAGATATTTATTTTTACCATTTTAAATTATTAAATTATATAATATTTTATTATATGACTTTATTTTATAAAATTCTATTATTTGAATATGTAATAAAATACTATTATTCTAATAATTTTAATATATAAATTTTATTATATAAATTTTATTATTTAAATTTTATTATATAAATTTTATTATATAAATTTTATTATTTAAATTTTATTATATAAATTTTATTATTTAAATTTTATTATATAAATTTTATTATTTAAATTTTATTATTTAAATTTTATTACATAAATTTTATTATTTAAATTTTATTACATAAATTAATTAATATAAAAAATAATTATAAAACAATTTTTTAAAAAATAAAAACGTCACTTGTAGCGACGTGGGAATCATGTCACAAATTAGTGAAATGATTCTCACGTCGCAACTAAAGCTGTTATGTCATATTGTATATTCCCTAAAACAAAGCTTTTGCGACGTGAATACTACGTCACAACTTTGTGACATGGGAATCACGTCGCTACTCTGGCTTGTCACTGGCTCCATGTTTGCCACGTGATTTTCACGTGACAAATAAGCTTCATTTTTGTAGTGTAAATGCATGCAAATTTAGATTAAGATTGGGATAATAAGGCCATACTTTATTGTTTTATTATCGGAACTGAAGTTCTTTACTACAATACATTCAAAATTTATTATTTATGATAAGATGGCCATCTCATTATTGCACTCCTTAGCATGATCTCAATTAGATTGAGATTGAG